ATACAGGTAAGAGACTGCTGTTTTATTTTTTAATTTAAATATTGTGAAACAGGTACGGTAAAATTGGTTTATTTAAAAATATTGTATGTGTGCAACCAGAAGGATGTAACACAGAGTTAATACCCTTCTGGCTCTGAACAGATGTGGTGTGGGAGAGTTTTTTTTACAACATATTTGGAATAAGAACATGTGTTTTTCAAGAAAATGAAGACTAGGTGGAATTGATTGATATGTATATGGGACTATGTGACATGTATGTGACATGTGCGTGACATGTGTGCGATATCTATCCGGTCCAGATAGATATAATAATTTATTATTTATATCAAATACGGTAGTACCGTATCTGCCGGCGATAAGGCCGCAGTGCCGCATAGGCCACACCCCAACTTTGACATTTTAAAGAAGGAAAGAAAAAAAACGGAAAAAAAAAATAATCGTAATTTTCTCGTAAAACACTATTTTTGTTGACAAACGGATACCAAATTTATCAATATTTTTATAATTTACCGGAAGTTTAGCTAAAAAAGTGATCGCAGGCAGATTTGGTGTCCGATATATGCAAAATGTATCCCTACCACAATGTACATGTATGGTGTAATGCGAAATTGCATGAAATGAAAAACGAAATGGCGACTTCGGATGGATGCTTCGCCGGTAGCTCCGTTAAACGGTCCCTTTCTTTACTTTTGCAAATGCATTGGCACAAACTTAGAGATCTATCGGCAAATTTTGTTTTAGGAAGTTGTTGTTTTAACAATGCAAGATAAAATTGTCGGTAAGATGTGTGGAAATGTCCTGTACCATAATGGTATAGTTATTTTACCGTTCGTAGTCCCATATGCGCAAATTTGTGCTGGTTTGGACTTTCGCACCCCAACTTTTTGATATTTTCTCTTCCAAAAATACTGCGGCCTTTACGTCGGCAAATACGGTAGGTGGTTTCCCGGCAAAATTTGTATCATCACGTATTAGTAAAAACATATTCTTTCACATGATTGGTAATAAAGAGCTTCCATTTCATTTTTTGAGAGGGGGGCATTTTCATAACTGGTCTTTACCATTTGCAGGCCCAAAAAATGAAAAGGGTAAATTCCAACGGCATTTGAAAGATAATACTAATTTAGAACTTCCTTAAAAAAGGTGGGGCTTCAAAATGTCTTCAAGTGGGAAAATAATGACCATTAGTTGTTAAATCGACTTAGGAGCTATAGAGCCAATAAGTAATAGTCTTGTTTTTCAGACCATTGTACCGAATGGTCATACGTTTTATGCTGCGCAAAGATTCAATCAGTTTAATATTGGCCATCGCAAGAAGTGGGTTATTGATGTAGACAAATGCTCATGAACCCTCACAGCTCATTTTATGTATATTATTACTAAAGAAGAAAAAAAGCCAGTCAGTCACTCAATAGTGTCTGACAGTGAAGTCTAGCAAGTAAACAGGTTTACTTGCATAATTTGAATATTAGGACACTGCTAAAGTTTAAATTTCACAGATAGGACATTCATGACATATTCATAATTCCTGCAAAGTTCTACAGAATTTGAGGTTGGCTGCAAAAGGGACATAGCACCTTTTAGCATGGGAAAGTGTTCTACTTTGCACAACTTTTATGAAAATGTATACAAACTAAAATCATGAAGAGACATTTTCACCATTTCTGGACCAATGCTGCATAGCACTAAGCAAACTGTGTGTTATATTTAGTCATAAGATTTCGAAAATTATGAAATGTTAATGTGACATCAAAGTTTGCAAATTAGCTCTCACCAAATTTAAATTTGTGATCGAATCTATTAAACTTGGTTTTATGCTTGACGGATTTTAATGAAATCTGATATGAAGGTACATTACATGGTATCAAAATACAGGCTAAATTTGATTTCGGAGTATGTAGGTGAAAGGCCATAGCTCATTAACCCTTTGAGAAGGAGCCCTCGCACATCGATTGTTTCCCCTGTGACGGAGCGATTTCGGTTACATCGCCAGTAATGGGAAATTTGGCGGTGCTTTCTACTTTCATTGCTCATTGTGCCTCATTCAGTCATTTTCGTGAGTTTTATTATATGTAAAAATATAAGTTTTGTTTATCAATACGAAAAATAAGATCTGTTATTTTTGAGAAAAATATTATTTTGCTGAAGCTTCACGTCTTTCCTTTTCAATACAGTCAACATACAAATTGCGTAAGCACCGCCACATGCTCAGATCTGTCGATACCTCCATTTATTCCCCCAATGTCAATGATTGTCGTCTGCTAAAGCTCGGCCGATTATCAACCGAGCCATAATTAATAGGCCTAAGCCTTCGCTTTACATGGGTTTTCGACAGATTTTGTAACTATATTCTGACCAACATTATGCCATGATCTACAGTAATTGCCCTTTTTTTTAAATGTGCAAATTGTTATGTATATAAAACAACATAATGGACATGCCAGCTGCAATGCATACCAATGTAATGCACATGCTAATGTAATGTACATGCCAATGTAATATACATACCAGCCAGTGACAATAGGACAATAACTCTCAGGTAAAGCACATATATGTTATAGTGTATCAGAGATACAACACAAATCAAATATAGGACTATTTGGGAAATGAATTTTGAGATGAACATGTGTGTTTTTGTTTTTGTTGAAAGGGTGTGGCTAATAAGGAGTTAATCACCGTAGTCTTGGTAGTCCTTTATTTATTTGAAAATAAATGATATTTAAAATATAGTAATTCATTATATGTTACGAAACAATAAAGAAAAACATGCAAACAAAAACACAACAGTTGAGGTGGACAATGATGAGAAACATAGGCACACTAAAACAATACCAATATGTATAAAACAAATGACCGTGATTCGGGGGCAAGGACACAAATGATAGCAATCAACAATAAAAAGCTAGTTGCGCCACCACCCCCCTTTTTGGCTATGACAGGAAATCGATAACGGTAATATATCATGTTAATAGAACACATATAAAAACAAATAAGGCAAAACATTTGTAAATCTATATCTGCCTTTTACTTTTTTCAATGTGGGAGGGGATCATGATTATTCAAATAAAACTGCCATCTGAAGAAAAAAAGCCGTTGTGTGCCTTATCATATTACCATCTTACCACTATTACCTAAATATATTTTATAAAATAAAATGACACACAAATCCCATTTATCAGGATAACCATTGAACATCTAGACTTGTTTTGGTCAAATCCCTTGTGAGAATTCAATTTATTTGTTTTCGTCTCCATTTGTGTTTTTGCTCAACCTATCGTGTCAATAAAACTTTGTTAATCCTTGTTTCATGATCAGTTTTGTAGATGGTATGTACATGTACAATGTATATATGAAATGATGATGATGATGATGATGCTTACAATATTGTAATAAAGTAGTAATGGTAATACAAATTATTTTCTTCATCTTGCACTCGCTTTTTTTTATTGCCAGAAAACTTGCATTTTTTTTTCAACAATGGTAGCTACTGAACAATGGTAGTTACTTCTTTACATTTATTTGTTCTTCTTAGGGTGGGGTCCGGTCCAGGCAGCTGAGATAGGCGTTTTATAAAAGAGGAGATCCATACATGAATGATTCGCTAAATTGGTCAAGTTGATAAAATGAAAAGCGTATAGTCAGAGTTCCAGCACTGGTAATTACAGGGCAGAAGAATTACCAAGTCCTGTTATAAATGCGTACTTATACACAGTTGAGAGTAAGTTTTATTTAAAAGGAATAGTCCTAGGTCTTTATGAATAGGCCTACTATAGGCCTAATAATATTATTATATGAATAACCACAATACATCTATGGAAATGTGAGGAAAACAACGCCCTCTCATATTGCCCAGCGAAAGTCATCCAATCACTGATGGAAAATCGCCATGTAATCGTCTTCATCAACAAAACCAATAATCCAAAGACTTGAATCATAAATAAAAAAACGCAATAATATAGCTGTCTCATAATTCCTTTTTTTTTGTGTGTCATAAATCTGCCAATGTTTTAATAACTCTTTTTGTGTTGCATATTCTACTTTTTAACTATGCATCTAAATCAGTTATGTAAGTACAATGACGTAAAAGATAGATGTGGAGTCAAAACTTTTGAGACGATGGGCTTTATGAATAACATATGGAACGACGCGCGCGTACGCGTCCGTCTCCAGCTGTACCGGTATTTCAAGGGCTTTTTTTTCGATCCGAACACTAACTTAGGGTAAAGTTGAAATGATATCACTTTTTTTCCACATAACGTTATTATTTTTTTAATAGATGAGATGAATGAATATATCTAAATAATACTTCAAACAACTTTAGCACATAATAGCTAATGATAAGCTGGAAAAATATTAGGGATACATCTCGGCTTCTGTAGAAACCCGTCGTCACAGACTTAAAAACTTGCTCGTCTTCTGTAGAATCCCGTCGTCTCCAAAGTGTTAAATATGCGAATATGTTTTTTTTTGGAATAACTTTAATAATGTTTAACAGATTTTAATCAAATTCGAAATAAAGGTACATAGTATCAAAACACAGCCTCAGTTCAATTTTCGAGTATGTAGGTCAAGTGTCATAGCTCATTAAATATACGAATCTGGTTTGTGTTTGATAACTTTAGTAACGTTTAGCGGATTTTAATAAAATTTGATATGAAGGTCATGGTATCAAAATACAGCCTAAGTTTGATCTTGGAGTATGTAGGTCAAAGGAGAAAAGTCATAGCTCATTAAATATGCAAAAACACCTAATTATATCTGTAAAAATGTGGTCAACTTACTTGCCTACTAATATAATAGTATAGCCCAATGGAGGTAACTTGTTTTGATGTACATGTATATATAGGCCATTTGTACCCTGCGAGGGGATGCTACGCTTTGCGTTCGACTTGTTTAAATAAATATTTTGGTCATGTTTTACTTTTTACTTTGTTATTTTTCTTTTGAAGACTGGTGGCATCAATTGAGTGATTTGGACTTTAGGAGAAGCAACGTTTCTGGAGAGTAGGTTTATTTTAATGCTACATTCCATGATTCTTTTAATAAATTACCCAACCTGTGTTACTAACAGATCTTCATCACTATTAGATGATATATTTATATGATTTTTGACATATTTATTTTTGAATATTATTAACTGACATTTCTGACCACTTCCCAGTATATTGTATTTGTGATATGGCTATTTACAAATGTACCTGTGAAACTGACTTTTTTAAACATGATTTAAATAAAAATAATATTATAATATTTTTGCATTTGCTGTATTCAAGGTACATGTAAATGGTATTTATCTAGTGATGTGAATAATATTTATGATAGCTTTGTTTTTAAATTCACAAAACTATAACTCGTGTTTCCCTGTAAAATTAATGTGTATGAAATATAAGCGTAAAAATAAACCTTGGATTACAAATGAAATTATAAAGTTGAGTAAGAAAATATGTGACTATATAAGTTGTATATTAAAAATCCTAATGATTATAGAAAAGAAATATATATAGGAAAATTTGTAATAAATCAAATAATAAGATTAAGATTGAGATAAAGAAATATTTAAAGAAAAGTCTTGAAGAAAACATGGAATATTATTAATAAAGCAATGGGAAAAAATGTAAGATAACTAACATTCAAGAGATTAAAAAAGTGATAATTGATAAGAATGACTTAGAAAATTATGAAATGTTTACGTGACATGATTGTAGACGGGAATGTATGATACAGTATTTAAAATTATGTACATTTTGTCTGTAATTCAAATGAAACTTTGTACAACTGATCATTCCAAGATTTACATGTCATATTCTAATTTTATGTTTCTTTTCGTTTCCTAGGCGGAGACTTTTACATTCCTTTCATTCTCATTGAGCTTGTTGGCGGACTGAACAATTCCATTTCATCTTCACCCATATTCCCTTCCCAACTGTCTTCAGACGTATATTCATCATTCACTTTTCTTTATCTCAGAAAGATCCTGCTCTCCGAAGAGAGTGTACCACAGCTGTCTCTTGTAGACCGTATTGGCTGTGTCTTTTATCCATTTCATCCCATTTCATCTTCACACTTGCAAAAACAAATGAAAAATTTACAAAAGCAATTATGAGAACATTATTATATATTCATGCAGAAGCATTCTATACCTAATCACAGAAGTCTTAAATGTTTGCTACAGAAGAAGTCCTACTTTTTACTTGTGATACTTTATATTACTGAATTTTCTAAATTTCACAAATCTTCTCTTATTCTACAAACTTTCTAAATCTATTCTTAATCACAAAAGTTATTCCTACAAGATCTCTAAATCTATTTTATACTAAGCTGTCTGAACTTTTCTAACCTATTTCATATTACTGAATTTTATATTTCTTAATTATGGAACTTGAAATTGATCAATTCAAGGAAGTGATGAAAGAGATTGTAGATATGCTATATACATGCGATCCGCATAATGAAGAATGTTGTGTCTGTAAAAATACAATCGAAGAAAGTGAAAACAAAGCTACTTGTGAGAGCTGCAATGAACATTATCATGTAACATGTATGGGCTTTTTGTGTCAAGATCTAGTAAATGAGCAAAGATTAATCTGGATATGTTCATATTGTGGAAATAACAACATTGCACATCGACTATTTGATAAAGTATGTATCCCCTCTCATATCAATAGATACCAGCCTCTCGAGACAGTGGATGAAGTATTCAATGATGATGTGCTCCTCTTACCCAAGCAAAATGACAAACAAAAGAAATGCAGATCAAAGAAAAGGTATTTTAAGAAATGCAAGAAAATCATTATAGAGCCAGGAAATCAAAGTGTAAAAGTAATGAAATCAAGTGAGTTTGACACGCATGAACATGATCATCTAGTCACTCAAAGAGATTCCCCCAAACAACGTGATCAAGTGCATAGTGAAGAAGTAGGCAGTAATGAATGGATGAAAGTGAAATCAAAAAAGGCAAAGATGTTGGAAAAGATGCAAGACAGAATATCACATTCAACAGCAAAAAGTGACAGTGGAACAGGTCAGAAAAAGAGAATCATAAATGGTGTTGTTTTAGAACCTGGAGTAACGTACATTGGCAAAGCAATGAAATCTTTCTACGAAAGACGAAAAAGTAAAAAATCAAAACGCAAAGTAGACATCAAACTAAACAGAGATGTAGAATGTCAGAATGTATTGGAAAATAATGTTCAAATGTACGCAGAAAAATTGCTAAATGAATACTCAAAGTGTGTGCAATCACCAAAATCTATGATGTCCCATGAAACGAAACTCTACAAAGAAAATAACATGAAGCAAAAACAATCTTGGGCTGATGTAGTAGGCCATGTACAAAATGAAATAATACAGGAACATTCTATTGTTGGCAGTGCGACATGCAGTCATGTTTTTTTAAAACAATATAAGGGCAAAGAACAGAGCACATTTCGAGTATGTGGTGGTGCAAAACCAAATGATAAAGGAAAAGTATGTGACGGAAAGACTGAAAACGCGGGTGAAGTAAAGGTGGATAAAGATTGTAAGCAACATGTGGACAAGTCTATTCCTATGAAAATGTTTGAAATGAAACATGATAGTAAATTTCATAAACAGTCAGTCAACACCTCTAATGTAAATTTAGAAGAGAAGCAAATACCAAATGAGAACATGTCAAATATGGAACAAAATACACTTGTGCAATGTGTTGCCCTGGGCAATTTTCATCAAGGAAATGCTAGATTTGGATTTTATTCTGGAAAGCAATGTGTTTCTAACAGTTTTGCTGCTATTTTATACAGTAAAATTACAGATGTTTCCCAATGGCAAAAACAAGATCTTGACAAGGTATTGAATTATGGTAATGAGTTGTATAGATTTATTCAGCTTAGTTCTGCAATAAATGAAGATTTCTTATTGATATCTGAGTTACCTGATCAATTAGAAGCTTTTGATGTCCATTTTAAGATGCAATGTTCTCAGAGTGTTGTGGGTATAATTTGTGGAGATGAATCTTTTTTAAGTCATTTTAATGCAGTAACATTAAAAGATGCTCTCCATCAGGAATTAGATAGACATGATGCATGCTTTTGTACATTTGGTGGCCAAACATTTGCAATCATATCCACACAAGAACAATATTTTATTTTTGATTCACATTCAAGAGATAGGCATGGACTTATGACAGATGGTGGGACCAGTGTCATTCTATGTTCATCAAACTGGGAAGGTGTGTACGATCATATTTTGAAATTAGCTGAATCTATGGGTATCAATAGAAACCAGACTGAATTTGAACTTACAGGTATAATTGTGAATCTTATCAATTCAAGCGAGATTACTGTGACGGAACATGGTGATAATGGTCATGTTGCAAAAGATGAACAGGACTGTATAAATGTAGTTGAAGGTAATGATGGATTTTTCTTGCCAACAGATAGAACTGACAAAAGTAGTAGATGTGTTCCCACAAATGTGCCTGATTCTATTGAAATCAATGAAGATGACTGCAATATTATTGATACTGAAAATGATCGGAATGATTGCAGATATTTCGCAAGCAGTTTTTCGACAGATATGTCTGATTGTATTGAAATAGATGATGATGAGGATGACTGCATAATAATTGATGCAGAGCATGATACAAATTATTGCAAAGATTTGTTTAGTGGTGCTCCCTCAGATAGGCCTGATTCTATCAATATAGATGATGTTGATGATGATGACTGCATGGTAATTGATACAGAATACATTACAAATAACTACAAATATTTTCCAGTCCATTCAAGTGAAAAGAAAAAAATGTGTGCTAGATTTAATATTACAGATACATGTATCAGTTCGAAATCAGATATCGACACGTGCATTAATATTGGTACTCCTGCTATTATTTCAAATATTACCGGCGATGGAAATTGTTTTTACCGGGCAATCTCTCTTTTTCTGACAGGGAAGGAAGGCAATCATAAATTTCTGAGGCAAAAGTGTATCCAACATTTGCTGGAAAACTCGCACTTATTTGCTGGTTGTTTAAGATATGAATTTGTATCAGTTAAAGACTATGTTAGTAAAAATAAGCCAGACATCAATGGTGAATGGGCCACAGAGGTAGAAATTGCTGTCATGGCCCATCTGCTTGAAACAGACATATTAATATTTAGTGATATTTATTTAAAGTGGAGACTATATTCATGGAATAACCCTGGACGCATTGTACATGATTCAAATATGGGCATTTATCTATTACATGTTAAAGGGGTACATTTTGATTATGTTGAATCTGTTAATTGTATTGATTTGGTTACTGACGAAGGAAAAAAAACAAAGGAAGTTACATGTAATAAAAAGAGATCTATTAATAGTGAAATGCTTAAAGACAAAAGTAAACTATCCAAACAATATGCATCTTGTGCAACGAAAGATGAAATTGAAGAAACGTTTATGCCAAGTCTAAGCGGAAAAAGTGAAGACATTTTTATGTCCAAAAGAAAGAGAAAAGGTGACACAATTCATGAAAGTGTAAAGTGTGCTAAGTCGAAAAAGATGTCTTTTCCAAAAATGCATAGATATTGCAAAACAAAAGAACCAAAACTGGAAAACGGTGAGAGGGATAAAAAATCAGCTTCTAAAATTACAAGTTATCCATCAGACAATTGTAATACTATGAATAGAGGTGTTTCTGATGTTTTAAATAAAGGAAACGTGTTCATTGGAAATGACCCTTTAAAAATACGGAATGAAAAAATTGTACTGAAAAAAGTGTCAATTAGACTTGTACGTTTATCTGAATCTGAAATAAAGAATCTTTCATTTGATCTATTGAAAGGTATAAAGAAAACACAATCTAGTGCTAACTTTAAAGGTACAAATATTCCAGGAAAAGGGTCTACAATTGAATTTCCTAAAAAACAAATTAAAAAAGAAAACAAGAAAAGCAAATGTAAGCAGTCCTTAAAAAAACGACAACAATTAGCTAAAGAAAGGATGAAAGCAAAACGAAAACAAATTAATGATCAAGATGCATACGAAAATGTACAAAACAATGAGAATTATGCAAATGATATGGATGGTTGCAAATTCAAAGGAGATTTCAGTGATGTAAAAAAGACAAAAATGAAACAAAAGTATCACTCTAACAAAAGTTTCAGAGATGAAAAGAAGAAAAAGATTAAAGAGAAGTATCAGTCTGACGAATCTTTCAGAGATGAACACAAGCAAAAAATAAAGCAGAAGTATGAGTCTAATATATTGTTTAGAGATGAACACAAAAAGAAAATAAAATTGAAATATGAGTCTAATGAATCCTTTAGAGATGAACATAAGAAAAAAATGAAACAAAAAATAAAACATGACTATGAGTCTAATAAATCCTTTAGAGATGAACACAAGCAAAAAATAAAGCATAAGTATGAGTCTAATATATTGTTTAGAGATGAACACAAGAAGAAAATAAAATTGAAATATGAGTCTAATGAATCCTTTAGAGATGAACATAAGAAAAAAATAAAGCATAAGTATGAGTCTAATATGTTGTTTAGAGATGAACATAAGAAAAAAATGAAACAAAAAATAAAACATAACTATCAGTCTAATAAATCCTTTAGAGATGAACACAAGAAAAAAATGAAACAAAAAATAAAACATAACTATCAGTCTAATATGTTGTTTAGAGATGAACACAAGAAGAAAAAAAGAAAAAAGTATCACTCTAACCAGCATTATAGGCAGAGACTCGCAGAAAAAAATAAAGAACGTGCTGGACTTAAGAAAATGAGTTTCAAAAAATTAGAAAATGTACTAGGAAATTTCAGAAATGTTATTTCTCATGGACCAGAATATGTCTGTTGTGTATGTCTAAAATTGCTTTTTCAAAGTCAAGTCTTAAAATGCATTAAGCCAAATTACCAAAACAAAACGTGTATGAATGAGTCCTATTTACATATTTGCAATTCACACTGTAATGAAAACTGTCAATTGGCGCACTCATCTCGTGGACATTTATGGATATGCTTTACATGCCACAGAAAATTGTTGGTGAATAAATTACCAGCTGAGGCTAGTGTTAACAGTTTGCAATTGCATGAGATTCCAGAAGAATTGAAGGACTTGAATAATTTAGAACAACATTTAATTGCACGTAACATAAGTTTTTTCAAATTAATCCGTTTACCTAAGGGAGGTCAAAATGCAGTTCATGGACCAGTTGTTTGTGTGCCTTCGAATACAATGAAAACTGTAAATATGCTACCTCCACCAGAAAGAGAAGATCAATTGATCCGTGTGAAATTGAAAAGGAAAATATCTTATAAGGGCCATCATGAGTATAAATTTGTTAATAAAAATAAGGTGCTAAATGGGTTGCACTATTTGAAAAAAAACAATAAGTGGTATTCTGATATAAGTATCAATGAAAACTGGAATAATTCGTTGTCAGGAGAAATGTGTAGTGCAGAAACAAACGACAATGACGATTCAATTCAAAACTTTGAAGAACAGGAAAATGATGACCAAGAAGCAAGGTTAAATGGAATTCAACTTGATACCTGCTTGCAACCAGTTGATATTGGACAAGAAATCCTTGATCAACATTTTGATGATATTTTCTGTTGTGCTCCATGTGAAGGCAACAATCCCATAGCACTTCTTAGAGATGAAAGCAATGAACCTAAATCTTTTCCTGTATTATTTCCAAAAGGTCAACCAACTTATCATGATTTCAGAAGTGTACGGGTGACCCTTGGAAGATATCTTCAAAATAGGCTAATGCACGTAGATAATCGCTTTGCTAAAAGTACAGATTTTATTTTTTATGCTCAGTGCATTTATGAAATTCAACAAGTTTTGTCCGGTGTTTCAATTGCATTGAGAAAAACATCAAGTAAAAGTGATACTGATGCACCAATCACTATCAAAGATTTAAAACAAATTGACAAAGTTCAGGACATATTAAAATCAGATAGAGGGTTTCGCTTTCTGAAACAGATAAGAGGTTCTCCTCCATATTGGTCTGCCACACAAAAAGATTTATTAGCCATGGTGAGACAGCTTGGTATACCTACATGGTTTGCAAGTTTCTCTGCAGCAGACATGAGATGGCCTGAAGTATTAAATACTTTATTAATGGAAAGAGGTGATAAACGAAAAATCAATGACCTAGATTGGACAGATAAATGTGAACTTTTAAAGTCAAATCCAGTGACTGTTGCAAGGATGTTTGACAAAAGATTTCACACTTTTTTGAAAAATGTTATTTTGTCTGAAGCACATCCCATTGGTCATGTAATAGATTATTTTTATCGTGTTGAATTCCAACAGCGAGGATCTCCACACACACATTGTTTATTCTGGGTAAAGGATGCACCAGAGCATGGATATAGTTCAGATGAGGAAGTAGTTTCCTTCATTGATAAATACATTTCTTGCAAGATACCATCCGAACAAGAAGATCCAGAACTCCATGAAATAATCACTCATGTGCAGCAGCATAGCAAAAAGCATTCAAAATCTTGTAAAAAGAAGGGAAAAACATGTCGGTTCAATTTTCCAAGACCACCATCTGATAGAACATGTGTACTTTATCCCAAAGAGGGTAATCCCGATGAAATTGATAGTGCAAAACAATTATTAGAATCTATCAAAAACGCTGTAAATCAGGAAAATAATTACACTAATGTCTCAGACCTTTTTAAAGATTGTAACACAACACAGACTGAATTTGAAACTGCAACTAGGTTATTAGCTAAACAAGAAATTTTGATCAAGAAAAGAGACCCCAAAGATGTATGGATAAATCAGTACAATCCTTTTCTACTGAGAGCATGGAATGCAAATATGGACTTACAATTTGTTATGGATGTTTATGCATGTGTTAGATATATTGTATCATACATTTCAAAATCAGAGAGAGAAATGGGAATGCTCTTAAGCCATGCTCAATCTGAAATAAATGAGGGAAATCATGATGCAAGAAAAAGTATCAGACAGCTCGGAAATGTCTACATGCAAAATCGAGAAGTATCTGCACAGGAGAGTGTGTATCGTGTATGTTCCCTTCGATTAAAAGAGTGTTCACGAAAAGTCGAATTTATTCCGGTTGGTCCAAATCCTGTTAGAATGAGTTTACCTTTACATGTTATTCAAAGGAGACCTGACGATGATGATGATGATAGGAGTCCATGGATGGCAAATAAACTTGATCGATATAAAGCTAGACCTAATGGAAGTGAATTTGACACTATGTGTCTTGCAAAATTCTGCGCATGCTACAGAATACTAACTGCATCGCAAGTGAAAGGCACTAAAACATCACCATATTTATTTGAATTGAAAAATAATTCGGGATACATTCAGAAACGAACAAGGTCTAGTGTTGCTGTCGTAAGATATCCACGATTTTCTAAAATACTTTCTCCAGAAAAATATTACCTCAGTATATTACAACTTTTCCTGCCATTTAGTAATGATGAGCAGTTAAAACCACCACAGTTTGAGACATATCAGGAATTTTATAAAACAGGTAATGTCAAACTACAGGGAGGCAATTTGGAAAGTGTAAAATCAATAGTAGACAAACATTGTAAAGAGTACGAAAGAAATTCAAGAGCCATTGAACAAGCTGAACTTTTCATGGACAAATTTGGTTCTCCAGAAGATGCGTGGGCTCTTTTATGTCCTGAAAGTGAAAAAGAAAGACTAGAAAATCCTAAGAACAAAGTTGAAATGGATGAACCAGAATGTGAATTGGACATTCCAGATTTCAAACATGAAAAAAAGAATGAAACTTCTAGTGTGGAATTTCGAAGCCATGGAATTTCAAAACATGAATCGAATAGTTTGATTCGATGTTTAAACAATGAGCAAAAAGAAATCTTTTACAAAATTAGACAATGGTGCTTAGAGAAAGTGAATGGTACAGAAAGTCAACCTTTTCATGTACTTATTAGTGGTGGTGCAGGAACAGGAAAATCTTATTTAATAAAATGTATATACCACGAAGCTGTACGCATACTTGGTAAAATGATGGTTAATCCTGATGACATTTCAATCTTGAAAGTTGCACCAACTGGCATAGCTGCATTCAATATAGATGGATCTACAATTCACAGTGCGCTCTCAGTTCCAATCAACGCCAAATTTCCTTATCGACCACTTGGTGAAGAAAGAATTAACACCCTTCGTAATAAGCTTGGACAGTTGCAAATTTTGATCATAGATGAAATTTCCATGGTAGATTCCAAATTGTTGTACTACATACACGGTCGATTAAGACAAATTAAGCAATCACGCACTGATTGTCCATTCGGTAACGTTTCGGTATTGGCAGTTGGAGATTTTTATCAATTACCACCTGTGAAAGGAACACCCTTGTATAAGGAATCGGTAGAACAATTGCTGTGGTCTGAAAATTTCAAAAAGGTAGAACTGGTTGAAATAATGCGACAAAAGGAAGATTTGGCATTTGCTCTACTCTTGAATAGATTGAGAGTTAAGGAAAAGAAAGACAATTTATCAGATGCAGATTTATCCATCCTTACCTCTTGTGAAACCGGTGAAGAATGTGAAGAAGATATGCACATCTATTCAACTAATAAACAAGTAAATGAATGGAATAGCAGAATGTTGCACAGCAAATGTGAAGATATTATATGTGTTAAAGCTGAAGACAGAAATAACAGCAAGGATAATGACGAAATATGTACCGAACCATGTAAATCTAGTCAAAGTTCTTTGCCTCGCAATCTGTCAATTGCTTTGAATGCCAGGGTGATGCTTTTAAAAAATATTGATACCAATATAGGTTTGACAAATGGATGTATAGGTACAGTTGCAGAAATAGTAAAACGAAACAACGAATCCAAGCCATACTGCATCAGTGTAAAATTTGATAGCCAGAAAATTGGCATTCAATCGATCAAAATGTATGAAGAATCAATGGGTAAAAATTACACAAGAAAGCAATTTCCCCTCAAACTGGCTTATGCTTGCACGGTTCACAAAGTACAAGGCATGACTTTAAATAAAGTAGTAGTATCACTGAAAAAAATATTTGCATCTGGACATAGCTATGTAGGCCTGAGTCGTGTAACTTCTTTATCTGGACTTACCATTGAAGATTTTCATCCAAAAGTTATATACTGTGATCCAAAGATTAAAAAACACCTTAATGATATGACCAATTTCTTGGAAACTTCTATAGCAGAGGAAACATATGATGATGGTTTATGCATAATGTTGCACAATATTCAAGGATTAAAACAACATTATGTAGACTTACAATGCAATCCAACATTCCTGAATTCTGATATTATTTGTTTGACTGAAACATGGCTATCGGATAAGGATGATGCTTTTGAAATATTCTTAGCTCATTTCAAATTGTATCATCAATCAAGATATAACTCTTATTCTATCACAAGTGACTCAAGGCAACAGTTCAAGGACCAGTCACATGGAGGTGTTGCAGTTTATAGCAAGAATGAATTTTCAAGCAGACTTGATATAAAGATTGATAATCTAGAGTTTATTGCTTTTCTTGTAACCTGTCCTGTTTCTGTTGTCATTGCAGTTGTTTATCGCCCTCCGACATACAGAATAAAAGACTTCTGTGAGTGTTTGAATAACTTATTAGAAGAGCTACATAAAGTGGGTACAAAATGTATTGTAATGGGCGACTTCAATGATAACTTATTAAAACAGTCATCTAAAATACAAGACTTGATGTGTAATCATGGCTATACACAACATGTAAAGCAATCAACCACTGAAGGTGATACTTTGATTGACCATGTATACAGCAAAGGTCTACCATTGGTTGAAACACAAGTGATTCCTATTTATTATAGTTACCATGAAGCAATTAAAATAAAGCTCTTTCACATTTGACATTTTAGATTTTTCAATCGTATCACAAGGTGATCCTTAGCTGTTAATCTAAACTACTCCAGACTTTATTTTGTTGAAGATTAAGATTAGGGTTGGTATTGAGTTCAAGGTTAGTTCTTTGAACTAAGTGAGCATTAGATATAGTGTTTGGTCCTGAGCTGAATTCGGGATTTGGTTGATGTAGAAAATTTGACCACGGACTACCTGTAATCATCTTTGGAGCATTTTTACTTTCTCTGATTGAAGCTTTCTCAGACCTAATCTTCATTACATTAATAAATAAAAGTTAAACTGAATTCGACCTCCACCACAAAAGGCAGCGACACTACCGCCCCAGAGATCACGTTTTGTCCCTGTAACGTCTTCGTCCAGGCTGCGTCCTGTGCCAGCAGTGCCACGGCCTCCTGGGACGTCCCTACAGCTACGGACGCCTCAGAACCCATCACAGCAGTCAGTAACTTCTCGCCTGGTGATTCCTTTGATGTAAGCACTTATCTGGTCATCTATTACCTTATCGATAACGCTAGTTTCTACTCGACATGCAGCTTTAAAGTCACTGTCACTTCAAGTGGAGGTCAGTGATTTTCTTTTAATAATTTTTGTTTGTTTTTGATTTGTTTTGGGAGTGTAGAACATTATTGTGAAATCTTGCTTTAACTGACCCATTTATGTATAGAGTACCAAGGTGTGACGTCATACTAGCCAAGTTGTCAAGGTTGCTGGTTCCAAACAATTTGTGCTAAACCATGATGTGGTAATCACACCGGTGCCAAACACTGACTTTGCCCTGCTCTAGCTTGTTGTGTGAATGATTGTGCCTTGAACCTCATTGACGGGCTCTGTTTAAAACCAGTAACCCGGACAAGTGAACATGACGTTAACACTTTACTCTATTACAGCAATTGTTTGGTTCAAATTTTTCCTGCATATAAACATGTTGCTATATTTGGCATTTGTCTGTGTTTCGTGAGCAGATTAGAATTGTAAAAATGTAAGTAGTGAAATGATTCAAATTTGTACCAAATCTGAGGAGATGAATGTACACTGTATCTCTGGATAGAGGAGGCAACTTATATTTTTTGAAAATGGAGGCTGCATGTAAATATTCCCTATCTCTGACATCATTTTCATCCTATTTCTTTGTCACAGTGGTCATCGACAGAGAGAACCCCATCCTGACCAGCTGTTTAACCGACATCGTCGCCAATGCCAGCCCTGGTACCTCGACCCCGGTGGTTTTATGGCTGGCTCCTGAAGCATCAAACAACTCTGACTCCGTTTCCCTGACGGTCAATCAACTACAAGGCGGTTCCATCGCTGTTGGATCTACTGAGGTCACCTACACAACTAGGTATGGATTGTTAGAAAGACAGAGCCAAGCTGTGTTATTGATAGAATTCTATCAATAACACAGCTGCATAATAAGTTGCAAGGGGACAAAAAACGAGGGTGCTGACTAGAACTATTTTATTTTTTGGGTACCATAGGAATTTTTGTTATCTGTCTTCTCTTTGAATGTCATGATTTAGACCTATGCTCAGTACAGATCGGGAGAAAAGTGTATAAAGGTGATATGCCATTTAAAGAGATATTTTTGCTTCATTATGATTCATCATAGTACGATTTATCCAGGAACGGATGGCACCCGACCATCCTTCCTCAACTGGCCAAGCAACATCGACGGGACTGTCCCCTTCGGTAGCAGCCCAACTACCGTCAGCTGGACCGAGCCCATTCGTGTAGCCAGCATTGCGGCCCCACAGAGCTCTGGATCTTTCTTTGCCATGGAATACACTAACATGGTGTACACCGACACAGACCCAAGCGGCAACTTCGAAAGCTGCTCTTTCTCTGTCACCGTCACAGGTAGGTGGGAACTTGTGTTTAAAAGAGATTGTGGTTGAAAGGGAGTAAAGATAGAAGCAAAAATGTTGATGTTTTAGAAAACTCAAATACATACATGTGTTCAAGTGTACCAATCGCCTGAAGATGAAAAAATCTTGTGTATCATTGGAATATATAAGATCAGCCGAACAAAAATTTGTAGGTCTTTAACAAAATAATGGAGTATGACTATGAAGACAATAAAGGGTAACAAACAAACAAATGGAACAGAGTGAGCAAGAAACTGAAGTCATTTGCGTTCCAGTTGCGTCTTTTCTACCCCTACAATTCGCTAAGCTACCTTATCCTAATTCTAAACTTCAACTCTGGACCAATGAAACCTAACACTAGAACCTAAGTGAAATCAGAATCGTCTTTGATTTTCATATTGTACCTATTGTTAAGTGCAAAATAGCATGTGTGACAAACGAGCGAAGATCGTAACTAAAGTGTTGAAAATAAGCTCTAAATATCATTTTAATAAACTTGTTTATTTTCCTTAGACAACACAGCCCCGGTCACCTCCAGCTGCCCTGCGTCCTAGACTATCACCTGGACTGAAACCCATCTTTACTGATAGCTCAGGTGTGGTCACCAGCAACTTCAACTCAGGCTCCTCTTTCCCCACCGTCACTTACGCCGCGACCGATTTTCTCAGCAACGTTGGATAATGTTCCTTTAATATCGTTGTCAATCTTGGTACGTAGGCTTCTATTAAATGCACAGACTGCAATAATAAAATCTGGGCCCTGCTTATATGAATTTAGGAGCACTCGTAATAGTAAACTCTACTCCATAACATGTTCAGCAAGAGGCTATTAATCTGCCTGTAAAATATATTGCAACTCATCTCTGTATGCCAAAAATATGTAAGTTAGCATAGGTATAGATCATTAGAAAGACAGAGCCATGCAGTGTTATTGGTAGGAGTTGCAAAGGGACAAATATAGAGGGTACTGACTAAAATGGTACCATAGGAATTTTTCTTATCAGTCTTCTCTTTGAATGTCCTAATTAAGACCTATGCTCAGTACAGATCAGGGGAAAAGTGTAAAGGCGATATGCCATTTAAAGAGATATTCTTGCTTCATTATGATTTATCAAGGAACAATTTATCCAGGAACGGATGGCACCCGACCATCCTTCTTCAACTGGCCAAGCAACATCAACGGGACCGTCCCCTTCGGTAGCAGCCCAACTACCATCAGCTGGACCGAGCCCATTGGTGTAGCCAGCGTTGCGGCCCCACAGAGCTCTGGATCTTTCTTTGCCGTGGAATACACTAACATGGTGTACACCGCCACAGACCCAAGCGGCAACTTCGAAAGCTGCTCTTTCTCTGTCACCGTCACAGGTAGGTGGGAACTTGTGTTTAAAAGAGATTGTGGTTGAAAGGGAGTAAAGATAGAAGCAAAAATGTTGATGTTTTAGAAAACTCAAATACATACATGTGTTCAAGTGTACCAATCGCCTGAAGAAAAAAAAATCTTGTGTATCATTTGAATATATAAGATCAGCCGAACAAAAATGTCTAGGTATTTAACAAAAAAATGGAGTATGACTATGAAGACAATAAAGGGTAACAAACAAACCAATAGAACAGAGTGAGCAAGGAACTGAAGTCATTTTGCGTTCCAGTTGCGTCTTTTCTACCCCTACAATTCGCTAAGCTACCTTATCCTAATTCTAAACTTCAACTCTGGACCAATGAAACCTAACACTAGAACCTAACTGAAATCAGAATCGTCTTTGATTTTCATTTTGTACCTATCGTTAAGTGCAAAATAGCATGTGTGACAAACGAGCGAAGATCGTAACTAAAGGGTTGAAAATAAGCTCTAAATATCATTCTAATAAACTTGTTAATTTTCCTTAGACAACACAGCCCCAGTCACCTCCAACTGCCCTGCGTCTTAGACTATCACCTGGACCGAAACCCATCTTTACTGATAGCTCAGGTGTGGTCACCAGCAACTTCAACTCCGGCTTCTCTTTCCCCACCATCACTTACACCGCGACCGATTTCCTCAGCAACGTTGGATAATGTTCCTTTAATATCGTTGTCAATCTTGGTACGTAGGCTTCTATTAAATGCACAGACTGCAATAATAAAATCTGGGCCCTGCTTATATGAATTTAGGAGCACTCGTAGTAGTAAACTCTCCTCCATAACATGTTCAGCAAGAGGCTATTAATCTGCCTGTAAAATATATTGCAACTCATCTCTGTATGCCAAAAATATGTAAGTTAGCATAGGTATAGATCATTAGAAAGACAGAGCCATGCAGTGTTTTTGGTAGGAGTTGCAAAGGGACAAATATAGAGGGTACTGACTAAAATGGTACCATAGGAATTTTTCTTATCCGTCTTCTCTTTTTTAATGTCCTAATTAAGACCTATGCTCAGTACAGATCAGGGGAAAAGTGTAAAGGCGATATGCCATTTAAAGAGATATTCTTGCTTCATTATAATTTATCAAGGAACGATTTATCCAGGAACGGATGGCACCCGACCATCCTTCCTCAACTGGCCAAGCAACATCGACGGGACCGTCCCCTTCAGTAGCAGCCCAACTACCGTCAGCTGGACCGAGCCCATTGGTGTAGCCAGCGTTGCGGCCCCACAGAGCTCTGGATCTTTCTTTGTCATGGAATACACTAACATGCCAAAAATATGTAAGTAAGCATAGGTATAGATCATTAGATAGACAAAGCCATGCAGTGTTATTGGTAGGAGTTGCAAATGGACAAATATCGAGGGTACTGACTAAAATGGTACCATAGGAATTTTTCTTATCAGTCTTCTCTTTGAATGTCCTAATTAAGACCTATGCTCAGTACAGATCAGGGGAAAAGTGTAAAGGCGATATGTCATTTAAAGAGATATTCTTGCTTCATTATGATTTATCAAGGAACGATTTATCCAGGAACGGATGGCACCCGACCATCCTTCCTCAACTGGCCAAGCAACATCAACGGGACCGTCCCCTTCGGTAGCAGCCCAACTACCGTCAGCTGGACCGAGCCCATTGGTTTTGCCAGCGTTGCGGCCCCACAGAGCTCTGGATCTTTCTTTGCCGTGGAATACACTAACATGGTGTACACCGCCACAGACCCAAGCGGCAACTTCGAAAGCTGCTCTTTCTCTGTCACCGTCACAGGTAGGTGGGAACTTGTGTTTAAATGAGATTGTGGTTGAAAGGGAGTAAAGATAGAAGCAAAAATGTTGATGTTTTAAAAAACTCAAATACATACATGTGTTCAAGTGTACCAATCGCCTGAAGAAAAAAAAATCTTGTGTATCATTTGAATATATAAGATCAGCCGAACAAAAATGTCTAGGTATTTAACAAAAAAATGGAGTATGACTATGAAGACAATAAAGGGTAACAAACAAACCAATAGAACAGAGTGAGCAAGGAACTGAAGTCATTTTGCGTTCCAGTTGCGTCTTTTCTACCCCTACAATTCGCTAAGCTACCTTATCCTAATTCTAAACTTCAACTCTGGACCAATGAAACCTAACACTAGAACCTAACTGAAATCAGAATCGTCTTTGATTTTCATTTTGTACCTATCGTTAAGTGCAAAATAGCATGTGTGACAAACGAGCGAAGATCGTAACTAAAGGGTTGAAAATAAGCTCTAAATATCATTCTAATAAACTTGTTAATTTTCCTTAGACAACACAGCCCCAGTCACCTCCAACTGCCCTGCGTCTTAGACTATCACCTGGACCGAAACCCATCTTTACTGATAGCTCAGGTGTGGTCACCAGCAACTTCAACTCCGGCTTCTCTTTCCCCACCATCACTTACACCGCGACCGATTTCCTCAGCAACGTTGGATAATGTTCCTTTAATATCGTTGTCAATCTTGGTACGTAGGCTTCTATTAAATGCACAGACTGCAATAATAAAATCTGGGCCCTGCTTATATGAATTTAGGAGCACTCGTAATAGTAAACTCTACTCCATAACATGTTCAGCAAGAGGCTATTAATCTGCCTGTAAAATATATTGCAACTCATCTCTGTATGCCAAAAATATGTAAGTTAGCATAGGTATAGATCATTAGAAAGACAGAGCCATGCAGTGTTTTTGGTAGGAGTTGCAAAGGGACAAATATAGAGGGTACTGACTAAAATGGTACCATAGGAATTTTTCTTATCCGTCTTCTCTTTTTTAATGTCCTAATTAAGACCTATGCTCAGTACAGATCAGGGGAAAAGTGTAAAGGCGATATGCCATTTAAAGAGATATTCTTGCTTCATTATAATTTATCAAGGAACGATTTATCCAGGAACGGATGGCACCCGACCATCCTTCCTCAACTGGCCAAGCAACATCGACGGGACTGTCCCCTTCGGTAGCAGCCCAACTACCGTCAGCTGGACCGAGCCCATTCGTGTAGCCAGCATTGCGGCCCCACAGAGCTCTGGATCTTTCTTTGCCATGGAATACACTAACATGGTGTACACCGACACAGACCCAAGCGGCAACTTCGAAAGCTGCTCTTTCTCTGTCACCGTCACAGGTAGGTGGGAACTTGTGTTTAAAAGAGATTGTGGTTGAAAGGGAGTAAAGATAGAAGCAAAAATGTTGATGTTTTAGAAAACTCAAATACATACATGTGTTCAAGTGTACCAATCGCCTGAAGATGAAAAAATCTTGTGTATCATTGGAATATATAAGATCAGCCGAACAAAAATTTGTAGGTCTTTAACAAAATAATGGAGTATGACTATGAAGACAATAAAGGGTAACAAACAAACAAATGGAACAGAGTGAGCAAGAAACTGAAGTCATTTGCGTTCCAGTTGCGTCTTTTCTACCCCTACAATTCGCTAAGCTACCTTATCCTAATTCTAAACTTCAACTCTGGACCAATGAAACCTAACACTAGAACCTAAGTGAAATCAGAATCGTCTTTGATTTTCATATTGTACCTATTGTTAAGTGCAAAATAGCATGTGTGACAAACGAGCGAAGATCGTAACTAAAGTGTTGAAAATAAGCTCTAAATATCATTTTAATAAACTTGTTTATTTTCCTTAGACAACACAGCCCCGGTCACCTCCAGCTGCCCTGCGTCCTAGACTATCACCTGGACTGAAACCCATCTTTACTGATAGCTCAGGTGTGGTCACCAGCAACTTCAACTCAGGCTCCTCTTTCCCCACCGTCACTTACGCCGCGACCGATTTTCTCAGCAACGTTGGATAATGTTCCTTTAATATCGTTGTCAATCTTGGTACGTAGGCTTCTATTAAATGCACAGACTGCAATAATAAAATCTGGGCCCTGCTTATATGAATTTAGGAGCACTCGTAATAGTAAACTCTACTCCATAACATGTTCAGCAAGAGGCTATTAATCTGCCTGTAAAATATATTGCAACTCATCTCTGTATGCCAAAAATATGTAAGTTAGCATAGGTATAGATCATTAGAAAGACAGAGCCATGCAGTGTTATTGGTAGGAGTTGCAAAGGGACAAATATAGAGGGTACTGACTAAAATGGTACCATAGGAATTTTTCTTATCAGTCTTCTCTTTGAATGTCCTAATTAAGACCTATGCTCAGTACAGATCAGGGGAAAAGTGTAAAGGCGATATGCCATTTAAAGAGATATTCTTGCTTCATTATGATTTATCAAGGAACAATTTATCCAGGAACGGATGGCACCCGACCATCCTTCTTCAACTGGCCAAGCAACATCAACGGGACCGTCCCCTTCGGTAGCAGCCCAACTACCATCAGCTGGACCGAGCCCATTGGTGTAGCCAGCGTTGCGGCCCCACAGAGCTCTGGATCTTTCTTTGCCGTGGAATACACTAACATGGTGTACACCGCCACAGACCCAAGCGGCAACTTCGAAAGCTGCTCTTTCTCTGTCACCGTCACAGGTAGGTGGGAACTTGTGTTTAAAAGAGATTGTGGTTGAAAGGGAGTAAAGATAGAAGCAAAAATGTTGATGTTTTAGAAAACTCAAATACATACATGTGTTCAAGTGTACCAATCGCCTGAAGAAAAAAAAATCTTGTGTATCATTTGAATATATAAGATCAGCCGAACAAAAATGTCTAGGTATTTAACAAAAAAATGGAGTATGACTATGAAGACAATAAAGGGTAACAAACAAACCAATAGAACAGAGTGAGCAAGGAACTGAAGTCATTTTGCGTTCCAGTTGCGTCTTTTCTACCCCTACAATTCGCTAAGCTACCTTATCCTAATTCTAAACTTCAACTCTGGACCAATGAAACCTAACACTAGAACCTAACTGAAATCAGAATCGTCTTTGATTTTCATTTTGTACCTATCGTTAAGTGCAAAATAGCATGTGTGACAAACGAGCGAAGATCGTAACTAAAGGGTTGAAAATAAGCTCTAAATATCATTCTAATAAACTTGTTAATTTTCCTTAGACAACACAGCCCCAGTCACCTCCAACTGCCCTGCGTCTTAGACTATCACCTGGACCGAAACCCATCTTTACTGATAGCTCAGGTGTGGTCACCAGCAACTTCAACTCCGGCTTCTCTTTCCCCACCATCACTTACACCGCGACCGATTTCCTCAGCAACGTTGGATAATGTTCCTTTAATATCGTTGTCAATCTTGGTACGTAGGCTTCTATTAAATGCACAGACTGCAATAATAAAATCTGGGCCCTGCTTATATGAATTTAGGAGCACTCGTAGTAGTAAACTCTCCTCCATAACATGTTCAGCAAGAGGCTATTAATCTGCCTGTAAAATATATTGCAACTCATCTCTGTATGCCAAAAATATGTAAGTTAGCATAGGTATAGATCATTAGAAAGACAGAGCCATGCAGTGTTTTTGGTAGGAGTTGCAAAGGGACAAATATAGAGGGTACTGACTAAAATGGTACCATAGGAATTTTTCTTATCCGTCTTCTCTTTTTTAATGTCCTAATTAAGACCTATGCTCAGTACAGATCAGGGGAAAAGTGTAAAGGCGATATGCCATTTAAAGAGATATTCTTGCTTCATTATAATTTATCAAGGAACGATTTATCCAGGAACGGATGGCACCCGACCATCCTTCCTCAACTGGCCAAGCAACATCGACGGGACCGTCCCCTTCAGTAGCAGCCCAACTACCGTCAGCTGGACCGAGCCCATTGGTGTAGCCAGCGTTGCGGCCCCACAGAGCTCTGGATCTTTCTTTGTCATGGAATACACTAACATGCCAAAAATATGTAAGTAAGCATAGGTATAGATCATTAGATAGACAAAGCCATGCAGTGTTATTGGTAGGAGTTGCAAATGGACAAATATCGAGGGTACTGACTAAAATGGTACCATAGGAATTTTTCTTATCAGTCTTCTCTTTGAATGTCCTAATTAAGACCTATGCTCAGTACAGATCAGGGGAAAAGTGTAAAGGCGATATGTCATTTAAAGAGATATTCTTGCTTCATTATGATTTATCAAGGAACGATTTATCCAGGAACGGATGGCACCCGACCATCCTTCCTCAACTGGCCAAGCAACATCAACGGGACCGTCCCCTTCGGTAGCAGCCCAACTACCGTCAGCTGGACCGAGCCCATTGGTTTTGCCAGCGTTGCGGCCCCACAGAGCTCTGGATCTTTCTTTGCCGTGGAATACACTAACATGGTGTACACCGCCACAGACCCAAGCGGCAACTTCGAAAGCTGCTCTTTCTCTGTCACCGTCACAGGTAGGTGGGAACTTGTGTTTAAATGAGATTGTGGTTGAAAGGGAGTAAAGATAGAAGCAAAAATGTTGATGTTTTAAAAAACTCAAATACATACATGTGTTCAAGTGTACCAATCGCCTGAAGAAAAAAAAATCTTGTGTATCATTTGAATATATAAGATCAGCCGAACAAAAATGTCTAGGTATTTAACAAAAAAATGGAGTATGACTATGAAGACAATAAAGGGTAACAAACAAACCAATAGAACAGAGTGAGCAAGGAACTGAAGTCATTTTGCGTTCCAGTTGCGTCTTTTCTACCCCTACAATTCGCTAAGCTACCTTATCCTAATTCTAAACTTCAACTCTGGACCAATGAAACCTAACACTAGAACCTAACTGAAATCAGAATCGTCTTTGATTTTCATTTTGTACCTATCGTTAAGTGCAAAATAGCATGTGTGACAAACGAGCGAAGATCGTAACTAAAGGGTTGAAAATAAGCTCTAAATATCATTCTAATAAACTTGTTAATTTTCCTTAGACAACACAGCCCCAGTCACCTCCAACTGCCCTGCGTCTTAGACTATCACCTGGACCGAAACCCATCTTTACTGATAGCTCAGGTGTGGTCACCAGCAACTTCAACTCCGGCTTCTCTTTCCCCACCATCACTTACACCGCGACCGATTTCCTCAGCAACGTTGGATAATGTTCCTTTAATATCGTTGTCAATCTTGGTACGTAGGCTTCTATTAAATGCACAGACTGCAATAATAAAATCTGGGCCCTGCTTATATGAATTTAGGAGCACTCGTAGTAGTAAACTCTCCTCCATAACATGTTCAGCAAGAGGCTATTAATCTGCCTGTAAAATATATTGCAACTCATCTCTGTATGCCAAAAATATGTAAGTTAGCATAGGTATAGATCATTAGAAAGACAGAGCCATGCAGTGTTTTTGGTAGGAGTTGCAAAGGGACAAATATAGAGGGTACTGACTAAAATGGTACCATAGGAATTTTTCTTATCCGTCTTCTCTTTTTTAATGTCCTAATTAAGACCTATGCTCAGTACAGATCAGGGGAAAAGTGTAAAGGCGATATGCCATTTAAAGAGATATTCTTGCTTCATTATAATTTATCAAGGAACGATTTATCCAGGAACGGATGGCACCCGACCATCCTTCCTCAACTGGCCAAGCAACATCGACGGGACCGTCCCCTTCAGTAGCAGCCCAACTACCGTCAGCTGGACCGAGCCCATTGGTGTAGCCAGCGTTGCGGCCCCACAGAGCTCTGGATCTTTCTTTGTCATGGAATACACTAACATGCCAAAAATATGTAAGTAAGCATAGGTATAGATCATTAGATAGACAAAGCCATGCAGTGTTATTGGTAGGAGTTGCAAATGGACAAATATCGAGGGTACTGACTAAAATGGTACCATAGGAATTTTTCTTATCAGTCTTCTCTTTGAATGTCCTAATTAAGACCTATGCTCAGTACAGATCAGGGGAAAAGTGTAAAGGCGATATGTCATTTAAAGAGATATTCTTGCTTCATTATGATTTATCAAGGAACAATTTATCCAGGAACGGATGGCACCCGACCATCCTTCCTCAACTGGCCAAGCAACATCAACGGGACCGTCCCCTTCGGTAGCAGCCCAACTACCGTCAGCTGGACCGAGCCCATTGGTTTTGCCAGCGTTGCGGCCCCACAGAGCTCTGGATCTTTCTTTGCCGTGGAATACACTAACATGGTGTACACCGCCACAGACCCAAGCGGCAACTTCGAAAGCTGCTCTTTCTCTGTCACCGTCACAGGTAGGTGGGAACTTGTGTTTAAATGAGATTGTGGTTGAAAGGGAGTAAAGATAGAAGCAAAAATGTTGATGTTTTAAAAAACTCAAATACATACATGTGTTCAAGTGTACCAATCGCCTGAAGAAAAAAAAATCTTGTGTATCATTTGAATATATAAGATCAGCCGAACAAAAATGTCTAGGTATTTAACAAAATAATGGAGTATGACTATGAAGACAATAAAGGGTAACAAACAAACCAATAGAACAGAGTGAGCAAGGAACTGAAGTCATTTTGCGTTCCAGTTGCGTCTTTTCTACCCCTACAATTCGCTAAGCTACCTTATCCTAATTCTAAACTTCAACTCTGGACCAATGAAACCTAACACTAGAACCTGACTGAAATCAGAATTGCTTTGATTTTAATTTTGTACCTATCGTTAAGTGCAAAATAGCATGTGTGACAAACGAGCGAAGATCGTAACTAAAGTGTTGAAAATAAGCTCTAAATATCATTCTAATAAACTTGTTTATTTTCCTTAGACAACACAGCCCCAGTCACCTCCAACTGCCCTGCGTCCTAGACTATCACCTGGACCGAAACCCATCTTTACTGATAGCTCAGGTGTGGTCACCAGCAACTTCAACTCCGGCTCCTCTTTCCCCACCGTCACTTACACCGCGACCGATTTCCTCAGCAACGTTGGATAATGTTCCTTTAATATCGTTGTCAATCTTGGTACGTAGGCTTCTATTAAATGCACAGACTGCAATAATAAAATCTGGGCCCTGCTTATATGAATTTAGGAGCACTCGTAGTAGTAAACTCTACTCCATAACATGTTCAGCAAGAGGCTATTAATCTGCCTGTAAAATATATTGCAACTCATCTCTGTATGCCAAAAATATGTAAGTTAGCATAGGTATAGATCATTAGAAAGACAGAGCCATGCAGTGTTATTGGTAGGAGTTGCAAAGGGACAAATATAGAGGGTACTGACTAAAATGGTACCATAGGAATTTTTCTTATCAGTCTTCTCTTTGAATGTCCTAATTAAGAGCTATATGCTCAGTACAGATCAGGGGAAAAGTGTAAAGGCGATATGCCATTTAAGGAGATATTCTTGCTTCATTATGATTTATCAAGGAACGATTTATCCAGGAACGGATGGCACCCGACCATCCTTCCTCAACTGGCCAAGCAACATCGACGGGACCGTCCCCTTCGGTAGCAGCTCAACTACCGTCAGCTGGACTGAGCCCATTGGTGTAGCCAGCGTTGCAGCCCCACAGAGCTCTGGATCTTTCTTTGTCGTGGAATACACTAACATGGTGTACACCGCCACAGACCCAAGAGGCAACTTTGAAAGCTGCTCGAACGGATGGCACCCGACCATCCTTCCTCAACTGGCCAAGTAACATCGGTAATCTTTTCAATGGAGGATGGTTGTTAGCTCACAAGGGAGTAAAGATAGAAGCAAACATGTTGATGTTTTAGAAAACTCAGATACATACACGTGTTAAAGTGTACCAATTGCCTGAAGAAAAAAAATCTTTGCTATCACTGGAATATACAAGATCAGCAAAACAAAACTTTCAAGGTATTTTACATAATAAAGTAGTATGACTATGAAGACAATAAAGGGTAACAAACGAACCAATAAAACAGAGTGAGCAAGGAACTGAAGTCATTTTTCGTTCCAGTTGCGTCTTTTCTACCCCTACAATTCGCTAAGCTACCTTATCATGATTGTAAACTTCAACTCTGGACCCAAAAAACCTAACACTAGAATATAATTGAAATAAATTGTCTTTGATTTTCATTTTGGACCTATCGTTTTGTGCAAAATAGCATGTGTGACAAACGAGCGAAGATCTTAACTAAAGTGTTGAAAATAAGCTCTTAATATTATTCTAATAAACTTGTTGATTTTCCTTAGACAACACAGCCCCACTCTTGTCAAACTGCCCTTCAGACCAAACCGTTTTGATCGATAAATCACAACTCCAATCAATTGCATAAGAATAAACTGAAATTGAAATTGGTATCGAGTTGCTATCAATTTGCAAAAAACACATCTGTTTATGTTATTGAACAATTAATAGCACTTTATCTACTTTCCTCCCCATACGGGTGTTTAATAAATACCTGGTTAGATAAGCATGTGTGGGCATCTATTAGAAAGTGACTAGCTGGAATGCACCCCAGGGAGCAGAGAATGTGCACTGTAATGTGGAATATAATAATTGAATCCAGTGACCTGGGTAATAATAATACTGTATTGCGCTTTGGTCAGTTAATGGTCACGCGCTATGTGAGAGACAGACATTATTACAGTCAAACCTGTTTGGCGACCACCTGTATAGAAAGGCCACATATTTTGTTTCCCTTGAATATTGTTTCTCATTGAAACCTGTTCATAAAGACCAACAGCCTTTAAAGACATTTAATGTCTCCCTTGAGCGGTCTTTATATACAGGTTTCACTGTATTATTATCATTATTGTTATAATCATTGTCTTGTGTATGTGTGTATTTTCAGTTCACAACTGAGTTGGTGCCAACCCTTGTTCCAGCAACCCATGTGCTCCCAGCGAACAGTGCTTTTACATCCCGTCCTGATACCTGTGTATCAACAACAGCAGGAGGAGGAGAGAAGCTGAGATGCTCGACCTTAGCGGTAAGAACATTCTGTTCTTCTGAATCTGTCCTCTTTCTAACTTTGGCGTCCGTCCATCAGACTTGGGCTTTGTTTTATAAAACCTCTTATCAATAATTAATGCTAAAATTCTATGACAAATTTGATCTCGGCCAATCAAATGCGTTGATTTCAGTATCTTATAACAGTTATGTTACTTTTCATTGAGAACAACTTGGTACATTTAGTTGCTCTTTCATTGAAGGTCTTGACAACCTGGTGTGGCATCAGCAAAAATTATCATTCAATAAGTTTGCATGCCATTAAATAAATTATATCAGCTTTGGAACTCTTTTACTTGATTTGGCTCTCATACACCTATTTTTCATAAGCAAAATATTTATATTTTGTTATCTTTTATTTGAATGTTTTACACTGATGTTGTCTATTTTTCTTTATACAGACATCTGCCCCTGCCAGAATGGCGGTATGTGTCTCCTAGACGACGCCACATCCTCAGCCACCTGTTAATGCCCTATTGGATACGCTGGTGTGCTCTGCGAGATGGGTAAGCCACCATACTAGCTGTTCTACGAAGATAGTCATCAAGATTATAGGGAAACCGTTCTATGAACGGAATACCAGCTGTCCTGCAAATAAGGGAATATGAAGAAAAAAAGTTGCTAAAATCTGGGATTCATCAGCAAATTTCATTAGCCTTTAACAAAAAGCGGTCTCTTATTTTTTCGTCTCGTGTCCAAAGATTGTATCATTGGATTTTGGAATTTTGAAACCATTTATCTTTTTTTTTTAAATTGGAAAGTTTTATTTTTATAAAGTTCTGGGAACCCTGACAAAAGACTACCAGAGGAATACACAGTAATGAGACCTTTGAGAGGTTGTTGTAGTACAGTGCTTAAACCTTTAACTTAAGATGTAAAGATTGTGGGTTTGAGCTGTGGTTCAGTAGGAATGTAATTTGATGAGACATCGATCAGAGTCAGTCATTCACATATGCCTCTGTAATACCTCGATCAAACCAACCAATTCTTGGCCATTGGAGTTAATGTAATTCCTTGTTTAGTCTCTTTTTGGTCTCTTATTGGTTGATAGGACCAAAGTATTAAAAGGTGAAAGCCACTGTAATATCTGTGATATGTGATCTCATACATGTTATATATTGACCTTACATGATCAAATACAACCATGCTGCACTGTCAATACGAAGTTCATGTGTTTTAGTAATAAAGCCAAACAACACACAATTACACGGTGGCAGCTGTGAGATTCTAACCCATGCCATTGAAATGACTGGTGGCTAGTCTCATGATGTTAAGTTGTCAACCAAGTTTTCATTCAAAGTTGAAATAACTTATAAATTCCTTTCGGTCTATTTCAGTTACAATGCCTGCTGCATGGCGATTATGCTCATCGTCATCTCTCTATCTGGGTTGCTTTGTTGCATCATTCCGCGCCTCGGCATGGTTCGTTGACATCGAAGCAAGATGAAATTCCTATCCTTCAATAAACACAACACTGCTCACAAGCTCATTTAAATCTAATCTAAGCTTATTGCATTCATGCCTTTGCTAGAAAGATCCATTGTGTAATCCCAATGGTAAGTTATGAGAATTGAAATATTGGGATGTACATGCGAGGAGAATATATTTCTATGCAAAACATGAATTCAAATGGCCTGTAATTAGATTTTTCAAAAGGGAAAAATCTTGTGGCCATTATACAATGTTCATTGAAGAAAGTCTTTCTAACCATGATATATTAATTGTGCTATAAATGTCTGTAAATAGTGTGTACGCTTAATGGTAGATTCTTAATTGCATAGTTTCATGTTGATGTAAGACATAGTGGAATGCCGATACATGGAGGAGGTTAACAATTTGTTAATAATGTTATGTTACTACTCTGGGATTACTCTAAGAATATTCTCTCCCCGTGAATAATAATATTAAAAAACAGTATTTATAAAGCGCTTACCACCAAAGTCTCTAAAAACACTTACTAGCCTTTCTCTCTGAAATTCAGTCTAGAAATGCTGTTTTTGTAACATTTTTTTTAACGACAGAACTGATCATTTGTCAATTTTTTTCTTCTTCAAACTAATTGGTGACGGCTTAGACTTTAATGCCAACTGAAAAATATGGCTATGTTTAGGTCGTTTTGTTGGGAGGGAGTAATGTTTGGAAGTATTTTTGACTTTATTTCGCTTTAGATATGCTCATAAGCGATGTTGTGGGGTTTAAATCCTGACTATCGTATATCAAACCTACTTTATTCCACTCTTAAAGTATTTCAAACACCAAAGCATTTCAGAAATGCCAAATATATCATGTTTTATATTGCATTCACTTATATATATATTGCAGAATTTTTATATTGAATTACATCAATTCTGTTTTGTTTTTCTTCAATTTTATCTTCGCATAAAGTCGTGGCTATTTAGAATATGAATTCATTTAGTGACTTGTGTTTGTGTTTAAATAGATATGAGTTTTCAAAATATCTCAATTGATATAATAAATAAAAAAATGGCCTGATTGCATAAATAATGTTTATACTGATTTTCCTTGTATTATTGTGATAGTAGTGGCGGTTGTGATGATTATGATGATGGTGGTGATGGTGTATGAAATTGATGATGATGATGGACTTGGTAAAAATAAAGTTGATAATGATGATGCTAATGATGATGATAGTTATGATGGTGGTGATAACGGCTATGATAATTGTGATGATGGTTCAATTCAATTTGACATTTATTCCATTTATTTTTTTTTTTTTAAAGTATATTGACACAATTTATAGAGGAGATCATGAAATAACAATGCATGAATAAAGAGACAGCTCAATTACAAAAGGCAAGAGCCTTATAGGTGCTGTCATCGAGAAAAAAAGGTGGCATGATGGTGATAGTGATGTTTCTCGTACCGACTAAACTAATGAAATTACAAACAAAAAATCATGAACATAATTCACAAACATAAGTGTCATCAAGTCAGTAGATAGCATCAGTCCTTATGAAATTAAAGGCCATACACATATGTAACTGTTTACCCACTAGATGAAACGTGTTTGTATTCCTATAACTTCAATCAAAACAGTTACAAATGATAATTGTCTGAAACGTATAGAAAACGAGTTTTAAATTTGTCACTTTGCGAATGAGGTGGTGTGTCTGTTTTTTATAAGGGTCTATGGTGTTAACGAAAAGATAAAGAGAGAGAGAAAAAGATGGCAGTAGATATATATAGAGAAGGAGGGAGACAGGGTATAGTCCTGTACAAAATAAATGAGCTGGACAGAGATATAAAAATAGGGATCTGAATGCATGCACTTAGAGAGAGAGAAGAGAGAGAGGATAGTGAGGAAACCCCGGCCCCCCCCACTCAGTGTTATTTAGGGTACGCATATGCGTGTTCCAACCGACCCCCCCTTTTCAGCAAAAGTCCGGTGTGTAAAGTCAATACGGCTCGACCTTTTTCTTTTGTTACGAAAAGGACATTTTGGCAACACGCATGCGGTCATTTTGAAACCTGAGTGGGGGGGCCGGGGAGGAAACGTGGTAGGTGTGAAATAAGAATACAAGGGGCAAAGGGGAGTGCTAGAGAAAATTCAAGAGCATCCAAGACATAATAAGAGGCAGAATAAAAGCTAGAAGCGGGAAAGTAGAGAAAGAGAGATATAGAGACGGAGCAAGAGAAGGAGAGCGGGCAAAACAAGAGAGCCAGAGGCGGAAAAGGGGGAGAGTAGAGAAAGAGAGATACAGAGACAGAGAAAGAGAATAAGAGGGAAGCAAGGCAAGAGAGAGGGAGAGGGTGAAAGAGTAGAGAGAGACAGAGAGAGAGATAGATGCAGAGACGGACCAAAAAAGGGAGAGGGGCAGAACATGAGGGGAGAAAGGAAACCGAGCAAGAGAGATGCAATTGAGAACAATGCCTTCCATTTTTCTACCACACATAAGCTCTTGTGAATACTGATCATGAAAGTGTTGCCGATAATCAAAACAACGATTATGTTCATGAATACGTTGATGACGATATTACAATAATGAACATGATTAGTGGCACAGCGCCCCTTCAGACTTTCGATAGAGGATTAAACTGTTTACTTATACTAAACTAGCTCAAAACTTTTTAAAAATAAATATTACAAAATGTACATAGTGATTTATTTAGTCCTGATTACATATAAAATATGAGTAAGATATTCATATTGTGCCCATCCATAATCCAACATCTGTGATGTTAAATCTAGAAACGATTGTTAGTATGCATGGCAGTGAATGGCCAAACGATAGAAATTGCCTCGTATTTCCTTGGATTAAATTGTTATACATATAAATGACACAAGCTGAGATGATGCAGAGTGAGAAAGTGGAGAGAGTAGAGAAAGAGAGAGAGACAGAGACAAAAGGAGACATAGCAAGAGAGAAAGAGGAAAATGGAAACAGTGAGAGGGAGAGGGTGAAAGTGTAAGAGAGAAGGAGAAGACAAGAGAGATGCAGATGAGAGAGACCAAGAGAAGGAGAGGGGCAGAACAAGACTAGGTGAAGGGAGACAGAGCAAGAGAGAAAAGAGAGAGAGGGGAGAGATGCAATTGAGAAAAATGCCTTCAATATTTCTAGCATAAATAGCTAGGCTCTTAAATTACGATCATGACAGTGTTCCGAAACTACCGTTGTGATATAATGATAATGTTCATGCATTCGATAATGACGATATTGATAATGATGAAGATGCCATGATTAAAAGTGGTATAGCGCCCCCTTCAGGTATTCGATTGAGGATTGATAACTGACATGTCACCTATGATTGAATTTTTGACTATGATTACGTCGTGATAATGTTATATAGTCTACATAAATCTTGTGGGAAACTTGTCTCAGCTACAACATGTTCTAAAATCAACAAAATCCAAGGAGCAATATCGGCGATATCGCTCAAAAAGACAGAAATGTAGAATCCAGATTTGAG